GACGCAGACAGAAGGACCGGCACTGGCCTGCGGAATGCGGCAGCGCACAAACACGCACAGCGCCCGCCCCGCACACTCAGTCACACCTGCACAGAGAGCCAAGTGCACGTATCACAGACACACGCAAGACTGGACACACACACACAGAAACACACGCACAACTAGACCCACCACCTGTCGTGATGCACACGTAGATTCACGGGTCGGAAACACACACGCCCTAGTACACAGAGGTGCAGAGGCAGTGTGCTCGGCATGCACACGCATGCACACACGCACGCACACACGCTCCAGGCACGCATCTGACTGGCAGAGCTGCGCTCTGGGCCACAGCTGGTTTTCGGCTCTTCTGCTTCCACCATGCCTCAGCCTCGCCCCTGCAGACCAGGGCCCTCCCCGGGCAGCTCCCACACCTGCCAGCCCCCATCTGCCCAGGGGCCTGGCTCCTCATCTCTGGCACATCAGTATCTGAGGTGATGCTGATGGCCCTTTCCCCTCCCCTCCCCTCCCCCCCTCTTCATTCACTTTGTTGGAGACAGAAGCCACAGGGGTGGGACCTGGGGCAGGGCCAGGCCACAGAGCCTATGGGAAGAGGCCCATATACCTTATGCACCCCGGGGGCAGCGAGAGCCCACCCAGCTCCCTCCGTGTGGGTCTGCACACGCTCATGGATGTCATGAAGGCCTGGGACCAGCATTGGACCTGCTCCCTGTGCCTGACCCGCACCCGGAGCCTTGCAAGGGTAGGCGGAGGTGGGCTCCATTAGCCTGGGTGGAGACCCTTTGATGTGTGGCTAACCCTGACCCCCACCCCGCCCCCTATGCCCAGTGGGCAGAGGAAGGAGGTGGGGGTTTGGAGGGGTGGAGCTAGGTCACTGCTCAGAACCTGATGTGGGGCACCCGTGTCCCCAGGCTCATTCACCATAGCAGCTGGGGAGGGGTCTGCTTGGGATTCTGAGCAAGACCCGAGAAGTCCTGGGGCAGCTCTGCTTGCCTGTCCACCTTCCCACTTGCCCCACTGCTCCCCTCTGAATCCGAGGATTCTCCCCCTGCCCCCGCCCAGCATTCCACCGCCAGGGGTCAGTGCAAGCCCCCAGCGCACAGTAGGTTGCCTGACTAATGTCCCTGAATGGTAGGCAGGGGACTTGAGTGCGTGTATCCCGATTGCTGAGGGCCTGTGTGCCCCACGTGGGCTCTGCCTGCCCTCCAAGGCTCAAGGTCCCCTCAGGCCTGCTGGAGTTCTTGTCCCCAGTGAGGGCAGCCCTGCCTGTCCCATCAGGGTGTTGGGGAGGTGACATTGGACTTGGGCCACGAATGATAAGGATCCAGCTGTGGGTAGATCTGGGAGGAAGCCTTCCAGGCAAGGGGGTGTCTGTGCAAAGGTCCTGAGGTGGCCACATGCTGGGGGAGGGGGAGGGATGTGTTGGAGAAACAGAAAGTAAGAGCCGTGGTCAAAGGACAGAGCCTGGAGGAGTGAATGGCACAGCCTGAGGTTGGCAGGCGGGGTGGGGGCCCCAGCAGAGCCCCAGGGCACCCAGCAGCACCCCCATTTCCTAGGTGGGGGCCTGGCTCCTCAGAGAGGAGGCCAGGCCAGGTGGTGGGGAAAGTCCGACGGAGGACAGGCACCTTCCTGCTCCCTGGGGTCCTCCCCGGCCCAGCCTCGGTGGGGGGTGGGCAGGGGTTGGGGGGGAGGGGGGACAGAGACTCAGGGGACCCCGCGGGTGGGGCAGGCACAGCTGTGGGGAGGCCAAGGTGCTGGCATCAGCAGGAGCCCCTCCTCCTCACCTCGCTAAACAATCATTGCACAAAATATGCAAATGGTATAATTACTGTTATTTGTTTTGCTGATATAAGTGTTTGAAATGCAAATGTCAAGTTTGGGCGCATTCATTTTCCCCACCCCTCACCCTGACGTTTGCAAGTCTACGTTTAGCCCTGGAAGAAGGAGGAGGAGGATTTGGGGCACCCTGGAGGCCGGGCCCCCTCCCTAGCGGTGCACAGGGGTGCCTTAGAAGGGAGACCTCACATCCCCCTCCCCTCCGTGCTGTGTGATCTGGGGCCAGTTATACTCGGCCTCTGGGAACCTCAGTTTACCTGTCTGTGTAATGGGCGCCACCAGCCTCAGGCTGTGGTGTGTCTGGTCCCAGTGCTCTCCGGCCCAGAGGCAATTCTATCGATGGGTTTGGGCCTCGGTTTCCCATCTGTAAAATCCTGCATGGGTGTGTTCGTAACTATCACGTGGGGACTTAGTGCTCCTGGATGGTTTTTTGGGGCCCTAGCGCACCCCCAGATATCATACACGAGATGTGTATGTGCATTTTCCAGGGTGGGTCCTCACCTTTGACCCCTCCAGCCCAGGTGGTCTCTGAGGTTTCGGGTCTCCCAGGCTTGTGGGTTCAGACGAGCCTGGGCTGTGAGCCAGTGGGGTGTGCCCACCATCATCCGCACCCGACAGAGGGGAAGGTGAGGCCCGGCCTGCCGGGGCTTGTGGCGGTCTCACCGCTGATCAACGTGTTGCTCAGATGCCACAGCCCCGTCTGGTGCCTGGTTCCTTTCCGGCTGCACACGAGGCCAGGGCAGGCCCGCTCCTCTCTGACCTTCTGCAAACTGCTCCACCTGGAGCAAACTGCACCCTCCAATCCGCCTGCACCTCGCAGCCCCCCAGGGCCAGGGAGGCCCCGTGTGTCAGATCACCGGCTTCACCTGAACCCCACCTGCCGCAGATCCCCCATTATCGACGAGGTGCTGGGACCCATGCAGCATTGCAAGCGCTGTCTTCATGCTCTCGGACCAGGTCGGTTCCAGTACGAGCGCAGCCCCAGAGAGGAGAGAGGCTTCCTGCCGGACCCTGTGGGTCTGCAGGAGCTCAGGGCTTATGCCAGGGATGGAACCGAGAGATGCCCTGGCTTGGGCCGATGAGGACGAGAACAGGTGTGATCCAGAGGCCGGTGGGTCGGAGAGGCCCGGGCGCTGCATACCAGCCTGGCAGCCCTCCCTGAGGCCACCCCTCGGGGCTGCGTGCTGGCAGCTGCTGGGCGGGGCGCGAGTGCTGGGCTAACACTCAGGTCTGGCCAGAGCAGGCGTGTGGGATGCCTGTGGTCCAGTGCGCCTGTGAGGAGAGTGGAGGGTGTGCGTGCATGCACGTGTGACCAGTGGGTGTGCAGGTGGTGCTCGTGGACAGTGAAGGCTCCAGGCCAGGCCCCTAGCGCTTGGTTCTGAGAACACAGCCCACTCGCAGGCCAAGAGGGACCTCAGCGCTCCCCTGGTTTCCGCTCACATGCACAGTGCCCCGGGCTCACGTTCCACCTTTGGACAGCTTTGCTGTGAAGTCTGAGCGTGGCCAGGAACCGAGGCCTGGGCCTGCCCGTGGCCCCCCGACACTGCAGCTGTGCCCCTATGGTTCCAGAGCAGTTTCCTCGTGCTTAACTTGGGATTCTTTGTAAAGCAGGGCTGGGCAAAGAGAAAGTGCTCAAGAAGCACGCATTCCTGCTCCTCGCTCGCTTCACTCAGTGAGGCATGGGTCCTTGTCACAGCTGGGGAGGCCGTTTTCAGGCTCCCAGGACCCCGGAGAGCAGGGCCTGGCCAGGTGGGCAGCACGGAGAGGGCCCTCCAGGCGGGGGACCCGTGTGGGCAAAGGCCCGGGGGGCAGGAAGGAAGAGGCGTCCTGGTGCCTGGGCTGAGGTCTCAGCCTGGAAGCCGCCTCTGGGGCCTGCGGGTGCAGAGCTGCTGAGCGCTCTCTTTCTATCCCAATTACCTTTTCCAAGACAGGTTTGGCCTTATTAGCATATTCAAATGCAGCCCATTATTATTTCAATTAGCTGTTAGGCAATTAGCTCTAATTGATGAACATTCCCCCCACCTCCCCACATATTTTTTGGTTATTTACGTCTGCTTCTAAGCCACAATTTCAGGTAATTACGTGCCCCTCACTCAGCCGTTTGCATGCGCGCACGCACACACAAACATACACACACACTCTCTCTCTCTCCCTCTTCCTCACACCATGGGTTCCTTCTGCCTTCCAGTTCCTGCTCCTGGCCCAGGAGCCTGGGGGATTCTGGGGGGGCTGTGCACAGCTGGAGCAAGGGGACCACTCTGGCTCCTGCCCAGGCCCTCCTGAGGGTCACCACTCAGCCTGCAGGGCCTCAAGGTTCACGGCCTTGCTCCCAGAGTCCCCTTGTCCCGAAGGGGCCCCCTCCTCCCCCCTCCCAGTGGTGCCACCCGCGTTGGTTCCATCGTGGCTCCGGGCTTTGTCCGAACACTGCATCTTTGCCGTGTGGCCTGGGGAGTGGACACCATTCTCAGCCAACGCTTCCCTGTCTGCGAAATGGGGACCCGGTGCATGGGAGTGAGGCTGAGTGAGGTGGTGCATTCAGGTCCTCGGTGAGCATCCCCGGCATGGCTGCTGGGGTTGCTCCAGGGAAGGAAGGGAGCAGTGAGTGATCCAGCCTTGTGGGCAGGTGGGGGAACCAGTCGTGGGCTGACTTGCCAGCCCAGCTCGGGCTTCGGCTTCCTGGCTGGTGCCCTCCCGCGTCGAAGGTCTGGAGTCCTCACCCTCTCCTCCCCAGCAAGGACGCTCTTGGGGTGGAGGCGGAGGCCTGCAGGGAGAGGCCTTGCCCCGGGTCTTTGCATAGCCCACCTCCATGGGGGTGGGGGGGTCAGGGAATCAGAGCTGGTCCTCCACCCCACCCCCGACACACCTGGGCTGCAGCAGTGGGGGGGGCGAGCTGCAAATGGCAGCCGTGACCTGGAGGGGTCCCCCGTCTGACCTGCCGAAATCCTGCCTCCGGGCCGCTCCTCTTCCTGCCCTCTGCCTTCACTGGTGTGTGCCTCCTCGTGCATCAGGGAGTCCCGGCCTCCCCAGCGTGCTCCTGGAGGTTGACTGTCATGCACGGAGCGCACAGGATGGATGTCCCCGTGGCTCCGGCAGACGGGATCTTGTGCAAGCTTACGATGGCTCCCCGCGCCCTCTCACCAGTGTCCTGTTCTGTCTCCATGCAGTGGCGTCTGCCTGGGTGACCGTGTACTGTTCTCTGGGTCCTGGAACACGGAGAAGACGTGCATGACCCCTGCAGGGAGGAGTCCACCAGCCCGTACTGCTCCCACGTGCTGCGTCACCGGTGGGCCCTAACCCGAAGGTAAGGGGCGCTCTGGCCCGTCGGATGTTATCAGCACAGCAGGGAGGGCCGGTCCTGAGGACCTGTGTGCTGGGGTCACCGTGCAGGCCCAGAAGGAGACGGGGTCAGGTTCGGGGTCAGGTTCGGCTGGCCTGCAGAAACAGACGTCCCCGTGCGGAGCTGCGGCCCGGCCGACAGGGTGTTGGGGCTGAGGACCGGGCCGCCCCGGCGTGTGACCAGACAGGTCAGGGGCTCCGCCGTCCTCCCCGGATGAGTCGGGGTGCTGTGTGGGTTTCATCTTCCGCCACCTCACGGACCTGGGTGCGGTGCCGTGAGCTTATGTGGCATGTTGTAGGCCGTGTGTATGATGCGCCTTAGGTTAATACGGACTTACCCTGTATATTGGAAAAAGGGTCTTATATGGGAAAAGTGACCCAGAACGCTGACTTGAGTGCCTCGGTGAGGAAGGGGTGTGGAGGCAGCCGTCCCGGTGGCCCAGCACATGTCCTCGCTGCCGGCGGTGCTGTGCCTGCTGGGGAGTCCATTTTCTCAGTGCTGTCCCAAGTCACACATCCCCTCTTGCCACCCGTGCCTTGGAATCCGCCGCCGGGGGCCCTTCACCCAGGTCTGGGACGGACTGTCTTTGTAAACCCAGCTCCAGCGCGGGTGCTCTTACCTGGGAGGTGGCCCGTCTGATGGAGCCGGGTTGTCCTATTGCGCGTGACCGGCAGGAGGTCAGTGACGCGGTCCGTTGGAACACAAGTTTTAGGGTTTGGATTTTTGCAATACGTTGCTTGCCTGCTGCATCCGGGCATCGTGATCGTGATACTTAGGCTCTTCCAATTCTGACGGACCGAGAGAGGGAGATTTGGGAATATGGGGCTTTCTCCTTCGTTACGTGGAGGAGCAGAGACTCCTTCTAGAACTTCCAAAGGCACGCCTTCTGCTGGTGGTCAGATGGCTCCCCAGCCTTCTCCATGGCTTTAGCGGGAGGCTTCCAGGACGGGCCCGTGAAGGGGAGTGCTGAGGATAGAGGAGAGCCCACCACGAGAAGCAGGGCAGGGCGTTCTGAGCAGAGGGACCAGCGGGGGAAGGAGAGCTGAGGTGGGACAAGCTTAGTGCGTGTGAGGTTCAGGGGGAGACCGGGGTGGCTGGAACCTGTGGGCGTGGGGGCCATGGGGTTGCAGGGTGGAGCGGGGCCGGATCACAGGGTGGGTGAAGCTGTCTGTTCATGTTCCTCCAGATGTCCATGGAGTACCTGCCATTGCCAGACCCCGGACAGTGTGGTGCTAGAGACCCACGTCCCTCTAGGAGCGCCAAGTCTAGAAAGAGGGAAGGGTGTGAGGATGCGCGGCTCATTCCATGGGACGGCCCCGTCCCTTCAGCGGACATCAAGAAAGTCTGGGGTGAGGGGCTGGGGTCTGCCCCCATCTCTACCACTCATTTCATGGGACAGTGAACAGCACCTGCCCCTCCACAGGCCTCAGTTTCCCTGTCCTGAAGGATGTCCCCTGAGGCTAAGAGCTGCTGAGAGGGCAGGTGGGTGGTCTGGGGTCGGGGTCAGCTCTGACCGTGCTGGTACGCAGAGACCCCCACAGCAGTGGGGCTGGCCACCACCGGCCGACAGCACCCCTCAGAGGTGTAGGGCTGCGGTGGAGAGGGGGCAGTCGGGGCTGGGCTGGGCGGACTTGGTGGTGCTGACCCCAGGCCACGGGCTAGCCAGAGCACGGCTTTGCAGAGCAGGAAGCCCTGTGCTTTCCCACCCCTGTCCATTTGCCCAGAGCACCCTCTCTCCCCAGTCCGCCTGCCCTCGGGTGGTGGTGGTGTCCCACAGACCCCAATCTGCCGATTTTTGGATGTAGAGTGCCAGAAGCCACCTCTGACCTCCTGTTTCTTGTCTGTAACGTGGAGTAGTAACCTCTCAGAAGGCGAGCGTTCAGTAGGACATGCACGTTGCTCGGTATACAGTAGGCACTCAAGAAACGCTGGTGGGTGTTGCCCGCTTTTCTGAGCATGAGACAGCAGAGTCTCTGGGACGTCACCTCAGAGCAATGTTCGTTCTTTTCCTCCTTTGCGGCCCACGCTCAGGCTTCCCTGTGCTGGTCCGGGGTCCCTGCAGCCCGGGGAACCCCCACGGGGCTCAGCCCCCATTGCCCCCAGACCCGTCCGCCTGCGCCCTCTCCCTCCCTCCCTCCCGGCTGCGTGTTCTACCCGGTCAGAGCCTGGCAGGTGGCGGACGCTGAGTGAGTGTGTGCCGAATGAATGGATGGATGTTCCCTATCCATCCTAGGAGGGAGGTGGCAGACCAGATGGCCCGGGGCCCCTGCAGGGTCCGGCAGAGGAGTGCGGACACCGCACGCGTGGTTCAGGAACGTGGGTGCTGGGCACGTTGTTCCTGATATCCCTGACAGACAGAACGTTTCGTCATGCAGCGAGTTGAACTTTCTCAGTTCTATTCCTGCCTCCCTCCTCCTCCATTTCCTGGTCCTGAGGCCTCGTCCCTGGAAGTGGCTTTCCTGAAGCAGTGACTAAGAGGCCAGAAGGAAGCTTCTCCGTGTTCTGATGACCCCCGGTGACCTGCTGGCCCCGGCCCAGCCCTTGGCCGGCCCTGTGTTTGGCACCAGGGACAGAGCCACGGCCAGCCCCGCCCTGGGCCTGTGGGCGCCATGGGAGGCCTGCAGGGGAGACGGGGCCTGGGGGTCGGCTAGAGCTAGAGCCCAGCGTCCTCTGTAAGAGCTCCCCTGCCTCCAGGCCTCAGTTTTCTTCTCTGGGAAGTGGGGGTGATGCTTTCCCCAGCAGGGCCTGGCCTGACAACAGGTGACTTGCCCAAGGCCACCCGCCTTCCCTCCTGCCTGTGCCGCCCCTCCCCCACCTCTCCAAGAGCAGTTATTTATCTGCCCGGTGGTGACAGGTGGCAGTGGATGGAGTTAGAGCTGCTTCCAGAGATCAGCTGGCTGCTGCAGAGCAAACAGCCCGAGCTAATTAGCAAAAGGTCACTCCAGCTGCTGGAGCCCCCGCTTTTGAAGTCAGGCCTCGCAAGTCAGGCTGGAAGGAACCCGGGACTTTGAGTTAGCGGCTTGGTTACCAGGACAGCTTCAGTCCCCAGCCCCCAGCCCCCGGCTCATCGGCTCATCGCCTGATCGCCCAGCCCACGACTCTGAGGCTTCGCGTAGAGACTCCCGGCACCAGGGGACTCCTAGCGCCCCTGCCCTAGGCTGCACAGTCCACAGAGACTCCGCCCCCAGCTGGCATTGGAGGGCAGGCCTCCCCCCACAGGGCCCAGGGGCAGACCGTCCCCGGCGGCTGAAGTGTGGGGCTTGGCAGGAGCCACCCACGTGCCCCCACATTCCCTCTGACTGTGTTCTTACCGTTTTTAAGTAAATTCACTTTTTAAAAAACTTAAATAAATACATTTATTTAAAAGGGAAGTTTTATAGCAGTACTGCAAATGGGAAACAAGCCTCCTTTACCATAAATAGAATTCAAAATCATAAAAATAAATTCAGTGGAAACAAAATAACGTTATAAAATTCTATCTGGACGCCATAGCCCAGAGGAGGCTCGGAGCCCAAGACGTGCTGTTACTTTATTAAAAAGGGAGAACAGGGCGCCTGGGTGGCTCAGTTGGTTAAGCGACTGCTTTCGGCTCAGGTCATGATCCTGGAGTCCCGGGATCGAGCCCCACCTCGGGCTCCCTGCTCAGAAGGGAGTTTGCTTCTCCCTCTGACCCTCCCCCCTCTCATGCTCTCTCTCTCTCTCTCATTCTCTCTCTCAGATAAATAAATAAAATCTTAAAAAAAAAAAAAAGGGAGAACAGCAGGTGTGCAGGGGTGTTTAAGACTTACCAGCCCCAATCCGAGACTTTCTTTTTGATGTAATCAGAAGCACTGAAAAGAATCAAATTGAAGGTAACTTTCTAATAAAAGTATTCAGCATTAGCTTCTGCCGCATCAGCCAGGGATTCAGTTTGGCTGCACGAGAACAGAGACCCTGTCTTGTGATTGAGCCCCAGCCGGGGGCTCATTTTTCTCATGGAAATAGGGTGGTGATGGCAGAGGTGCTCAGCCCGAGGAAGTTGTCAGTCATCTCGACGCCACATAGGCTTCTTCTCTGATATCCTTAGCCTTTGTCCTCATTGTCTCGAGATGGCGGCAGCTCCTCCAGCCATTGTATCTGCATCCCAGGCAGGAAAAGTGGTGGTGAAGAGAAAGGAATATGCTGGCTAAGTTGGTTCCTTGCTGTCGGAGGATCACGGTGGGCACGGGAGTCCATGCTCTTGCCCGCTACGGTCCACTGCTGTCTCATGGATGGTTCTCACTGAATAGTTCACCTGTTTGCTGCGTATTTACTTGGTGCGTGCTGTTTTCCATGCAATAGACCCCGGCCGTGAGGTCACATGCTGGCTGTGGGAAGAGTCACGACCCATCCCAGGACGCCCGCCTGGGGCCTCCCCTTCCCCCACACCTGACTCCCGCTGCCCACAGTGGGCCCAGCGCAGGGTGGACCCTGACCTGGCCCCACTTCCCCTCCCTGAAGACCCAGGCTGCCCTCACCCCCTGCGGGGTGGGGGTGCAGGAGGGGGCCCAGGTTCAAGCTGCCCGCCTCTGGGCTGCCCTGGGAAGGGGGCAGCCCCTTCCCTCCCGCACAGCTCTCTTGGGGCCCTGGGGCCCCCCGTTCTCCCTCTCCAGCCTCCCCGAAGCCTTTGCTTAGCGGTTTCGGCTCTCCAGCTGGCTGCAGGGCCGCATTTCTGCGGCTGTAGGTCTTAATCTGTCTTCTCATTTCCCTGTGGAATGTGTACCCCGCCGTTCCTGGCCCTAATTAGCAGGAGGAGGGGTGGGCCTCGGGGTGCCTCCTGCCTCTGGCCTCTGTCTGGCTCTCAGGCCCTGGGGACCCCTTCTCTGTTGGTGCAGGGCTCCTGGCTCATGCCTCCGGCCCCACTCGGCCCCTCCTTGCCACAGGCTTTGCCTTTCAGCCTTTGCTGCTGCTTGCCACCTCCCGTCATAGACTTTAGTCTTGCCTCT